ACAGGAATGAGTAAGCGGTGGAAGCTAGGAATCGAACCTAGGCTGTTGGACTCCAGTGGACCCAACAGCATAACTCATGGAAGGCGAGAGTCCACCAAGAGCTCTGCAGGGACAGACAGAAAAGGGCAAAATAAGCAGGGGGATAGGATGCACGAGTGTAGTAAGCAGAAAGGTTGTTAGTAACCTCAGCGAAGTGGTCTCAGTCAGAAGGGGTTTTCAAGGTTTCCTTTCAGGGAACTGACAAGCCCTAGGACAGCAAGTTTGGAGGCTACAGATGGAAACAAGTGAGAGAACCTCGCTAGATAGGAAGAGCAAGGAAACCCTGGGGGCGCAGCACTGAAACTGACTAACAGCTTTAGGACTTTCAGGTCCCCAGCATCTGACTCCCACTGGGACATAGTGTAGATTTGCCACTGGCTCCATGGCAGAGCAGAAAAGGACATGGGTGGCACGGCTGGGTGAAAGTAGACACTGGCCAACAGAGGGCTCTGCTTACCACGCAAATCATAAATAGCATTGTCTGCAAGATTCAAAATATCCCTTTGGATAACTGGAGATTTAATTGTCTTTTTGGATAACTATCATAAAACAAGGGCTAGATAATGCCTAGCTTTTAATCTCACACCTTTCTGGGATGCAGTTTCAAACCTTCCTGCCGGTTGATCAAATTTCAACAGGCAGCTGCTTCCGTGACGTGAACCCCTTGTAAACGAGGAGTGCGGAAGACTTACGAAGAGAAGAACCTAAAGTGCAAGCGGAAGCTTTGCAGCCAGGTCTTGGCTTCCTCAGAAGGGAAGGCACTGTCCTTCCAGACAGGCTGGTGTTCCACAATTAACCACAAGGGGACACTTTTTTGAGCCAAGCCCTGGAATAGTGTTGAAAATTAAAGGGGCAAATGGTAACTAACTGTTTTACAGCCACCCGACATAGGCATGTGGCAGCTATGAAATACACCATTAGGCCTTGGGGAACATAGTTAATTGCCGTCTCAGCCCTAGTAGGAGATTATTAGCTACTCATTGTATCTGCTATTGCTGTATTCTTTTTTTTTTTTTTTTTTTTTTTTTTAAGTAATCTCTACGCCCAACTTGGGGCCCCAACTCACAACCCTGAGATTGAGAGTTGCACACTCTACCAACGATCCAGCCAGATGCCCCATTCCCATGTTCTTTACAGTTCTCCTTACTACTAGCCAATCTCTCACTACCCCCCTTCCCTGAGATAGCTAATAATGTTTTATATTAAATTTTCCATGCTCAAGTGACCATATGGTCCTCATAGTGACAAATGCCTACTCCCAAGTTAAGAGTTTGCCTTTTCTGTGAGTGAGCAGGGACTGAGATACCACCACTCTAGATGCTTATACAAATCCTGATCCATAACCATCGAATCCCACACAACAGCATCCAACCAGGTGACCCACATCCCAGTAAAATGTACGAGAGTGGGTCCCTGATCATGCAACCATTGATTGTATCACACACCATGCTTCCAGAAGCAACCAGCCTCACAGAGGGCTAGAACAACCAATGCACAGCTGAAGTGCCAGCAACCTTCTGAAAGGAGGGAGAACCATCTTTCAGGACGCATGTCCCCAAAGGCGTTGGGAACGTTTCTGGGAACCAATGAGTGGAAGAGGGAGTGGGCCTATTTACTATCACTTCCAAAGATCCACTGTGGGACTTTGTGCTTCCCATCCATTTCTGGGCTCTGCAGCACTGGAAGTCATGGTCCCAAAGGAGGCGACTCTTGCCAGGGGACACAGTAAGGTCCCCCTGAACTACAAACTCGGGCTGATTCCAGGGCACATTAGCATGCCTGTGCTCAGGCAGTAGTAGCTGGTGAAAAAGGAGCCACCCTCACCAGCAGGAGGAGCAGAGCTACTGATATATAGTAAGGACAGGGTGTTCACATGTGGAACCCAGGTAATTCTCCTGGAACCCCCTTGCTCACGAGTGTCTCCTGGAACCTCCTGGCTCACATGCAGCAAGCCTGGCCTAAAAAAGTTTCTTTGATGCAAGCTGAGATGCTTCCTGCCCACTGTCTTTGTCCCCTCCTTACAAGGTGGGGAAGCAAGGTGTCAGACTTGCTCTACAGCCTGAAGGCTGTTGCTGTCTTCCTGCTCTTTATCCTCCCTGGGCATGTTCCCCAAGTCTCACGCACATCTCATTCTGTGTTGGCATCTGCTTCCCAGAAGACCCGAACTAACACAAGCCATGAAACAAAAGAGTGGGGGGGGGGGGGGGGGTGTGTGTGGAGGAGATAATGTCAACAAGGGTCATCTTAATCAACAAAGTCTTTTAACATGATTAATAATTTGAGTTGCTTTTTTCCCCACTAGATGTCTTTTTCTTCCCGTTACATGCCTTTAGCACCATGACCTTACCCTTTATGGCACTTAGAACACTTGGCGGGGGGGGGTGGGGAGGGAGGAGGGGTTAAATTTGTATGTGGCTTGATTAATGTTTCTCTCTTTCTCTCTCTTGCCCTTGTAAGCTCCCTTGAGACAAAGTCCATGTGGTTTTTTTTTTCCAGTACTGCACACCCAATTCCTACTGTAATGCTTAGCACATAGTAGGGGCTCGAAATTATTGAGCGAATTATTACTGAGTGATGAAACTTACTGAGGAATATTTAGTCTATAGCAAAATTTACTAAGTGTAGTAGCAAAAGAATATTATTGACAGGACACTATCACAAAGTGTACAAAGTCCTGGGGAATAGACTTATGATTCTAGAATACTGATAATGGTCAGCTGCCCAATAATAGGTCTAACAAGAAGATCTAATAAGGAGTTGTAGCTAAGTCTCATGCTATGTGGGGTGACCTCCGTTCCTTAAGCAGAAATAAACAAGTGTCAATACTGTGGGGCTTTATGGGATTGTTTGCAGGCATCAGCATGAGGCAATTTGAAAAGCAAGCCCTGCCTCTTCCATCTTCCACACCAACCTGTGTTAGGGCTAGCCTGCCCTCTAGCCTGGCTTGTAATTCTTAGCAACTATGATATTATCATGTCCAGAAGGCCATTTTAAAGTATTATCTAGCAGGAAAAGATTTCTGATCTTTCCACATTAATAACATGGACACAAAATGTATGGCTGTGCTCACTCTCAGGGGCGACTCTGCACTTGAGCAAATGCAAGAGTGAGCACCTCCTTAAATGCTGCACTCTAGGCATCTCATTGGTCTCCCCCTGGTCCTGACCCTGCATGGGAGCCTAAGAAAATGGCAGATTCAGGGGCCCCTTCCCAGAGCTTAGTAAATTACATACAACTGTCGCCAACTTAACGATGGTTTGACTTACGATTTTTCAACTTTATGACAGTGTGAAAGTGATATGCTTTCAGCAGAATCTGTACTTCGAACTTTGAATTTATCCCGGGCTGGTGATATGCAATACCTATTCTCTTCTGATGTTAGGCAGTGGCAGACAGCCATAGCTCCCAGTCAGCCAATTGAGAGGGAAACCAACCAATACAACCATTCTGTACCCACACACCTTTTCTGGTTTTCACTTTCAGCACAGTACTCAATAAACTGCATAAGATAGTCAACACTTTATTGTAAGACAGGCCTCGTGTTGGACGATTTTGCCAAATGTTGGCTAATGTAAGTGCTCTGGGCATGTTTAAAGGAGACTAGCCTAAGCTATGATGTTCAGTTAAGCTAGATGTATTAAATGCTTTTGTGACTTAATGATATTATCAACCAACAGTGGGTTTATCAGGATGTAACCCCTTTGTAAGTCAAGGAGGATCTATACTTTGAACTGAGAAATACTGATAGAGGGAAATATCTACTTGACTTCAAGAGGGAATAAGTCAATTGGAAGAGGTTTAATTAAGACAAAAAATGAATGTGCATAATTTATAAGTGGCATTTCCGAAATCAGTTTGCCAGAAAAAATCAAGTGAAGGCAGAATGCTGAACCCTAACACATTTGTATCACATTTAATTAAAATGTTTGTATTGTCAATGGAGTACTACGTGGCAATGAGAAAGAATGAATATGGCCCTTTGTAGCAACGTGGATGGAACTGGAGAGTGTTAAGCTAAGTGAAATAAGCCATACTGAGAAAGACAGATACCATATGTTTTCACTCTTATGTGGATCCTGAGAAACTTAATAGAAACCCATGGGGGAGGGAAAAAAAAAAAAAAGAGGTTAGAGTGGGAGAGAGCCAAAGCATAAGAGACTCTTAGAAAACTGGAGAGACAAACTGAGGGTTGATGGGGGTGGGAGGAGAGGAGAAGGGTGGAGGATGGGTATTGAGGAAGGCTTTGCACTTTTGGGTTCGGCACTGGGTGTTGTATGGAAACCAATTTGACAATAAATTTCATATATTGGAAAAAAAATAAAAATAAAACAAAATGTTTGTGTTGTATACAAAAGGAGAAACATGAAGTAAAGGGAATACTTTGGATAGGAAATCAAGACACAAATCAAGTATTGCAAAGAAATACTACGTATAACTTTATTTTTCTTTTGAATTAAGAAGGCTTATACAAATTTGACTTCATGAACAAAACAAATCACATGTTGGTAATCACCAATAAGGCTTTACTGATCCAAAAATATTTGCCATAAGAAATGAATCACTGTGTATCTCTGGTTTTAAGAATCACAACACTGTCACAATTTAAATTTATTGCCCACCTTTCCAATTAAATAGCAAAATCTTTTGGGAGATGATGATACTTCCATTTTTAATTTGAAATTATTGCATTTTTCAAATATTTTTTCTTAGAAATAAAAAGTAAATCATAAAGTGTGTTAAGTCCATTCCTAAAAAAGTCTTTAATCACAGGCTCAACCGTATTGGTTGGGACTTAAAAATGCTTTAATTTCAGGAATAGTTTTTGTACAGGCATGATTGATAACATTAAAAAGGCAGAAAGCAATTGTTCCATGCAAATTATTAGCTCTTATAAAGTACCAAAGTGTATTCTTGAGATGTTAAGGCATCTGGGGACAAAAGATACCTCTAGTTTCCTTGGCTTAGAGCTTGGATTTATTCTTGAAAGATTCCTTCATCCTTTTGACAACAGAAATGTCCCCTGCTCCCTCAGGCCAGTTGTCATGATCTGTTAAGTAAGTAGAAAACCTCACGTCCAGCACAAACCTATGAACCTCATTAATCCTCTTGGTTTCCAATAAACCCTCCTATTTTCCCTGGTTCACCCCTCTTCTCAGCGGGAAAAAGATATCATTAGGACAAATGGCAAAAGTCCTGAGAAAAACCTGCTTTGGAATCCCAGGTCTTCCCTGGACTAGCTCTCTAGCTCTTCCAAATGTGGAGAAGTTACTCTTCCTGAACCTGTTTCCTCATCAATTATCGGGGGGTGTAACAACATCTGTTTTTTAAAGTCATGAAAATTAGGGGCGCCTAGGTGGCTCAGTCAGTGGAGCATCCAACTCTTGATCTTGGCTCAGGTCATGATCTCACAGTTCATGGGATAGAGCCCCACGTCGGGCTCCGCGCTGACAGCGTGGAACTTGTTTGGGATTCTCTCTCTCTCTCTCTCTCTCTCTCTCCACCCCTCCCCCCCAAAATAAACAAATAAACTTAAAAACAAATAAATAAAGTGAAAATTAAATGCGACAGCCTGTATACAACACTTGGCATACTGAAGACATTCAAAAAATCCTACTTACTTAATAACCAGGATGACTTTAAAACCATGTCCTTACTTTGCACTGGGCACATATAGCTGCCTTTCCAGCATCCAGTCCTTCACCCTGTTTCCAGTAACCTCCACTTCCACTTGGGAATCCATGAGGTTCTGGGGAAGTGACCCCACTTAGGTTACTGACTGAGCTAAGTCAAACAGTGCACTCCGTTCCCCTGGCTGTGGTTATTGGTTGAGGATGGCCATTCCCATAAGCTGGTCCAAAACAGAGGGGGTCTCAGAACTCTGCTAGAAATGCTGTAACCAAGTCATTCCCCTCCTCTCTCTCTCTGTCCAGATGGCTGTGAACAAAGAATCATGGCCTGTTAGGGGTCCCAGGCAGCCTTCCTGTAACCAGGAGAGTCAATCTTAAGATAAAGCCAATACTGCATTAGCAAAAACAAAGGGAAAAGAAGAAATTTATTGTCCTTGATGAGATCTATGAGCATATGATTCAAGTCCGGCTTGCTTTTCAGTTATTCAGGCCAATAAATTCCTCTACTAGTTAGGTTTGAGCTGCAGCTAAAAGCATGCTGAACCAGGGCTTTCAATGTGCATTATCTAATATAATGCTCCCAACCGTTTATTCAATAAATGCTATAAGTGACTCCACTTTACAGGAAAGAAAGTGGAGGCCTACAGAAATTAATTTTCCCCAAGGTCACACAACTAATAAGGGCCTAGCCAAGTCTCCATCCCAGGCCTTGTCACTCCAGGGCTGGCAATCTTGGTAGGTTTTTTGTTTTTCTGTTTTTTAAATTTTTATTTATTTTTGAAAGAGAGAAAGCACACAAGCTGGGGAGGGGCAGAGAGAGTGAGAGGAAGACAGAGGATCTGAAGCAGGTTCTACACTGTCACTGTAGATCCTGATGCAGGGCTCAAACTCATGAAGCATGAGATCATGACCTGACCGATGTCTGACACTTAACCGACTAAGCCACCCGGATGCCCCTAGGCTGACAATCTTAAAGAAAAGACTGGACGCAAATGCTCAACATTCCCATTCATTATTTGGGGCAAGTATATTCTCGAAAAATAGATGTGGCTGATTTCTCCCAAAATTTCTTTCCCTTTATGAAGGAAAAATGAAAAATACCCTCAACTCCACTGGTGAGGAAAGTGGAGAGCTTCCCTCCCACCCTGGCCACTTTAAATACTTCCAGAACACAGAACTGCAAAATGTAGGCATTTCTGTCTTTCCAACCAAGATCCATCCTTAAAACCGTGGTATCTTATGCACATCACCACATTGATGTTATCAGTAAGGAAATACAGATAGGGGAGGGGAAAATAATAAGTAAGACTGAAGTCCCATATTAATCATTTATTAATGCAAAGAAGGTCTTATGTCTTGATTAGACTATCAGTACACAGAAGAGTAGGGTGAACGAACCCAGGTCCCAGATATGAAATTGAAATACACATGCATTACATCGATCACGTTTTTTTAAGTTTATTTATTTTGAGAGAGAGAGAGAGAGAGAGAGAGGGAGAGAGAGAGAACCAGTGGGGGAGGGGCAGAGAGAGAAGGAGAGAAAGAGAGAATCCCAAGCAGGCTCCACACTGTCAGCATGGAGCCCAATGTGGGACTGGAACCCATGAACCCTGAGATCACGACCTAAGCCGAAGTCAGACACTTAACCAACTGAGCCACTCAGGTGTCCTTACGTTGATCACATTGTAGTTGCTCGTAGCTACTTACTCAACACTCTTCAGCAACAGTGCAAATATGTCTAAATTTTTTACTTGTGTGCAACATCTATATTTGGTTGAGCCGTATAAAACTACTGCTTTTGTATATTAAGAATGGTTGAATACAGCAAATTCATATGGTTTTGCTGAGTCTATATCCCAAAGATAATGTAAAATAATACCATACCACCACCCCCCCCAAGCCCCAGCCTACCACCAGGTCTGATTCTTCTGTTCAGATACACAAGCCCCTTATTAGAGGAACAGAGAAATTAAATCTTAAAAATATGGCAACCTCTTGCCCGTTTTCTCTCTCCTCCTTATAAATGTATACTCATATAGAGAATAGTTTTCATGACTAAAATTCCACCAACCTATGCACACACAGGCAACTTTTTAAATAGATAAAGTTGTGTGCTATAATAAAAATATTTAGATATTTTCTTTGACTGGGATCATTTCCTTTAAAGATCACATCAGGAATATAAATATTTTGTACATTTTTGATGTTCCATAAGAGAAAACCCTAATCCCTTTTGTTTTTTTTTTAATTTTTTTTAATGTTTATTTTTGAGAGAGAGAGAGAGAGAGAGAGAGAGACAGAGCATGAGCAGGGGAGGAGCAGAGAGAGGCAGACATGGAATCCAAGGCAAGCTCCAGGCTCTGAGCTGTCAGCACAGAGCCCAATGCGGGGCTCAAACACACAAACTGCGAGATCGTGACCTGAGCCACCCGGGCGCCCCTCCCTAATCCCTTCTGTAAGTGCTTAAGAAATTTTGAAAACTTGAACGTGAAAAGGCATAAAGTCAGTGACTGCTCCTTTCTTGAGTGCTCACCTGGTACATCATATATTCGCGTATATAGAGACTGGCCCCCGTCCACCTCCACCAACTGTCCAGTGATAAAGGAAGCTGCTGGAGACAGCAGGAAGCAGACTATTGGGGAGATCTGGAAACAGAAGTACACACATACAGAAAAGTGGATACAACCCATCTGGGGCTGTTTCCATACCCAAGGAAACATATCTCAAAACCCATGACTGTAACATGAATTCTACAGTCCGTGTGCACCATACTCTGACAGAACAGACAACTGCCTTTTTCTGTTTGAGCACCATTGAAAAAAAAGTGACTAGTGCAGCAAGATAGGAAAGAATCTAGACAGTGTCAAACAAGCTACACGATGTGAATAAGCTGAAAGTGATCACTGTGCTTAATCTTTCCCAAACAACTCAGTTCCTTCCACACCTTTCATTGCCCACCATAACCCCACTTTTCTTCCTCTTCTTTTTTTCTTTTAATGTTTATTTATTTTTAGGAGAGAAAGAGAGACAGAGCATGAGCAGGGGAGGGGACAGAGAAGAGAGAGGGAGACACAGAATCAGAAGCAGGCTCCAGGCTCCGAGCTGTCAGCGCTGAGCCTGACGCGGGGCTCAAACTCACGGAGCGCGAGATCATGACCTGAGCCGAAGTTGGATGCGCAACCGACTGAGCCACCCAGATGCCCCATAACTCCACTTTTCAATGCCATCATATGCCTTTTATATTTTTGTCCCTGAAATAGCCAATGCATCTATATAACAATAAATTGGCATTGTAGCTTGCTCAGTCAATGGTCTTGCAGGCTGCAAGGCCAGGAACTCAGACTACAGGAGCTTCCTACAGGGGGGACTTCAAGACCCCACTGCATCCCCTAAAAATTCAGAGGTAGATGATGAGTACAGAAACATCTACTCCCAAAACCAAAAAGAAAGAGGACTTATTTCACTGGACATAAAGGAACTCTCTATGAGGCTATCGGCACAGGAGGAGTTTCTCAAAGGGAGATCCCAAACACCTGCATTAGAATCCTTGGGTCCCTACCTGAGACCTTCTAAATTGTAAGCTCTGGGGTTGGAGACCCAGAATCTGCTACTTTATGAAGCTCCCTAGCAGAAGTGAGACAAGGGGGAGGCTAATGGTGCTTAGGGTGCAGTATTTAAGGAGGCACTCACTCTCAGGGCAGACCCTGCCCTTGTGTGACCCTGAGAGTGAGGCACATCCCTAAGTTTTATGTCCATGCCTTGCTTGCCTCACCCCAGTCAGGGCTGTGTACCTAGAGTGTTCTCTTACATAGCTATGCCTCTTTGAGACTGTGAGACCATGGAGGGCAGGCATAGCCTTCTCTCCATCCTTGTGTCCCCAGAAGCACTGGCCACATGACACAGCCCACTTTCCGTATGGCTAGTCTGAACTGAGATGTGCTCTACGTGTAAAATACACTCTAGATTTTGAAGACTTGGTCTGGAGAGAAGAGGCAAAATCTATAGAAGAATGTAAAATGATGTTTTAGATACATTGGGTTGAATAAAATTTTATTAATAATATTTAATTAAATTCTTATCTATTACATATTGGTTATAACAATATTAATTTTATATTTTTTACTCTTTTTTTTAAGTTTATTTGTTTTGAGAGAGAGAGAGCACACATGCATGAGAGTGGCAGAGGGGCAGAGAGAGGGGGAGGGAGAGAATCCCAAGCAGGCTCCACACCTAGCGAGGAGCCCAACACAGGGCTCAATCTCACAAACCGAAGGTCATGACCTGAGCCAAAATCAAGAGTCGGATACTCATCCGATTGAGCCACCCAGGTGCCCCTTTACTTTTCTTAATGTGGCTAGTGGTTAGCTTAAAATTACACGTGTCACTATTACGGTATTTCTATTGGACAACACTGGTATAGAGAATTAATCATTGAAAAGTTTCCTCGTCTCTGAGAAAGGGGAGAGAGTTCTGACCTATGATCAAAAGAAACCACCAGAGCTTGCATTAGCCTGTGTTATCAATCAACGACATCTCACCCAGTGAGTCAGGAAGACTCCACTCCAGTATGCTCCTTCCTGAATGCCAGCCAAACAAAAACCCCCTCTCCCCGGTAATCATGCCCTCCAGAAGTCTGCAAATCCCTAAAACCACACTTGCCCCAGGAAAACAGAAAGAACCATGGTCTGCTCTGTTCAGAGAGACTGTGTCCGACTAGAAATAAATGTGGCTTCGTGCTGAATTTTGTTTGAAATATTTACTGATGGCCTCATGTGTTTCGGATAAAATAAGCACTTAATAAATGTTTACAAAATGAAAGCTCTATATGCATCCCTTGCCTAAAATGAAGGGAAGTTACATCACCCAGCTCCTGCTACAGTGTTTTGCCCAGAGACTAGGCACCACTAAATGACACTGAATTGAATTGAAGCTATCTGTTAGGTAAAAGATAGATAAATATTCATAGCTCATGGTTTACTTTAGGAGCTCAACGTGGAGCTAAACTGAACCAATACAATTTTTATAATCACCAAATTAACTAGGCACTATTGTAATATCTTCCAATAGACTCTTCTAAACTTTGATTTTAACAAAATCCATTTGATGGATGGGTTTGAGGAACCAAGCCATTCACAAGAGTTTTATCAATCAGTAAACACTATTAAAAACCAGCAGCCGAGGGCACCTGGGTGGCTCAGTCGGTTAAGCGTCCGATTTTGGTTCAGGTCATGATCTTGGCGGTCTGTGAGTTCGAGCCCCGCGTCAGGCTCTGTGCCGACAGATCAGAGCCTGGAGCCTGCTTTGGATTCTGTGTCTCTCTCTCTCTACCCTTCCCCATTGCACTCTCTCTCTCTCTCTCTCTCTCTCTCTCTCTCTCTCACAAAAGTAAACATTAAAGACTGGCAGCTTGTCTCCACTTTATCTATGTGGGTAACGCCTCTTTTAGCACAGTTACCTCTTTACTTTCTGCTCTGTTTATTAAAGACCCCGGGGATTTTAAATATGCAAGCTGGGGGTTGAATCCCAGTACCATGAGCCATGAATGACCATAGACAAGTTACCGCACCTCACTGGCCCTTAGTTTCTTAATTTCATAAAATGAGAAGGCTCTGCCAAGTGCTGCATTCCTTCCCCCAGAATGTCGAAGGACACCCTAGGAAGTCTAGGCCATTCCTTTTAAAAGTACAGCTAGGTTCTGACCCTCCTGACTCTGCTCCAGGGACTGTCACTTAAAAGCCAGCAACTCATTGAAAGCAGTTCATTCAATGGCCTAAGTGTGAACGTTCTGCCCCAGGGAGGATTCGCTGGGGTGATCAGAGTATCTTGGAAACACGACCTAACCGACAATCAGGCAGAGGCACCCCCTTGTTCTGCATCTCCCGGAAGCTCCCACCCTCTCTCCTTCCCCTTCACATCTAAACTATTTGAAGGTTTCGCCTACATTAGTCAAAGTATGGTCAGCAAAACCCTGGGCATACCTAAGACCTTTTCAGGTGCTTTGCAAGGACAAAACTGTTTTTGTTATAACACTAACTTTTCATTTGTCTTTTTCACTGTGTTGACATTTGCATTAATGGTGCCAAAGCAGTGGTGGGAAAAACTCCTGGAGCCTCAGCTCAGAAATCAGCAAATCATGGCAGGAATACAAAGAGGAACCAGGTCCCTAGGCTATTAGTGGTCATTATATTCTTCACCGGCAAGTACACATGGGGGGAAAGGCCTGTTTCACTTTAGAATATCTTTGATGAAGCAGCAGAATTTATTCATCATATGAATCTCAACCAGTGGGTACACACCTTCTTAATGTCCTGTGTTATAACGTGGGAATTACTCATTAAGCTTCTCTACTGCAGTGGAAATAGAAGAGTTGTGATCTGAACTAGTCACTCTCTTCATGAAATACAATTTTTCACTGGGATAAATGACTAACATGCTACGGTAATTCCCGCTGGGGTATTTGGCAGGCTTTTTTTTTTCCCCCCCAAAAATGAACAAAGTGAGAATGTCTCTTCAAAGGAAGACAACGTTGTTTTTTCGTGTTTGTTGTCAATAATAATATCTGAGCTTTCGAGTGAAAATGAGGATTTTGGAAAACTTGCACGTGTCAACATGAGCTTGACAATTTCCTAACACTTCAAGATTTTTCTGAAGAGATCAGTGGTGATATTAACAAATGTGATCTTTTGTGTAAGGGATTTTTTTGATATAATGGATTGCGTGTAGACATCCAGAAGATCTCCATAACTCAGTGAACCAGTTTTTTACCAAAACTGATGCCAATAACTGATGTTATAAAAATCGTGTGTGGCTGAAAGTCCCAAAGTGCAAGAAAGACTAATGGATTTTAATGTAACAGAGTATAAAAGATTCACTACAAGGTTTGAGATTGATGGCACATTGCAACCTATCTTTAAGAAACAGACACTTGTCAAACATCAAAGAAGAATATCCACAATTATCTGAAAAGTCCATTAAAATGCTCCTTCCTGGGGCACCTGGGTGGCTCAGTCAGTTGAGCTTCCGACTTTGGCTCGGGTCACGATCTCATGGTTCTTGAGTTCAAGCCCCATGTCGGGCTCTATGCCGACTGCTCGGAGCCTGGAGCCTGCTTTGGATTCTGTGTCTCCCTCTCTCTGTTTCTGCTCCTCCCCCGCTCATGCTCTCTCTCTCTCTCTCTCTCTCTCTCTCTTTGTCAGAAATGAATAAACATTAAAAAATAAATAAATCAATAAAAAATAAAATGCTCCTTCCTTTTCCAACTGTACATGTACATTAAGTTGGATTTTCTTCATATGCTTTAAACAAAACAACATATTGCCAACATATCAAATGCACGTGCAGATAAGAGTCCAGTTGTATTCTATGAAGCCATACGTTAAAGAAATTTGTAAAAGTGTAAAGCAAATACAAAAAATGGTTTTCCTTTGCTTTTTAAAATACAGCAATTTTTCATTAAAAATATCATTCATGTTAACACGTAATGCCTTTATTACTTTAAATGAACTGATCAATATTTCTTAAACTTCTCAATTTTGATTTCTGTGCAGTAAATATAGATAATATAGTTCATATAAGTGAAGGGAAATGTTCTGTCCAATGAAAATTTAATCATATCATCTCCTTGATTAAAATCCTTAAACCCCTCTTAGTTTTCAGAATAGAAATACAAACACCTTGTTTACAATGGCTCATGAAATGTCTGATTTAACAGTACCTCCCAAAAACTTAATATGCAAAACTATTTACTTCAGGAATTCTAGAAAAGTTACTTCTCACATAAGAGTGCATGTGTGTGTTTAAGGATGTTCACTGAAGAATTACCACAATGCTGCAAATATAAATGGAATCTAAATGTGCAAGAATGGAGCCTAATTAAATATATCATGGTCTATTCTTAGCAAGCTGCAGAAAAACACACACAGTAGAATCCCATTTTGTAAAAAAAAGTCAATAAATACAGGTATTTTTGTGTATGCATAGTAAACTTCTGAAAAACTATACATCAAAGCGACAATGAAAGCTAGTTTAGGAATTAGAAAACACTTTCTTTTAAGAGTTTTATGGTTTTACTTTTATATTTAGCAGTTTAATATATCTGAAAATGATTTTGTATGTGATACAAGATAGGAGGCCTAATATATATATATATATTTTTTTTTTAATTTTTTTTTTTCAACGCTATTTATTTTGTGGGACAGAGAGACAGAGCACATGAACCCGGGAGGAGCAGAGAGAGGGGAGACACAGAATCGAAGAGGCTCCAGGCTCTGAGTTATCAGCCCAGAGCTCAACACAGGCTCGAACTCACGGACCACGAGATCACCGTGACCTGGCTGAAGTCGATGCTTAACTGACTGAGCCACCCAGGCTTCACTTTTTTTTTTTTTTTTTTTTACGCTTATTTTTTTTTTTTTTATTTTTGAGACAAAGAGAGACAGAGCATGAACGGGGGAGGGGCAGAGAGAGAGGGAGATAGATGCCCTTCTTAATGCTTCTGAATGTTTGGGTGTCAAAAGCCGCTCTTTTCTCCAAAGGGTACAACTGGTGGTTTTGATGGAGTAAGAACAGAGGAAACAATTATACTCTTTTCTTTTTTCAGGAATAACATCATTCAGGCTTCTTTAAGAGTGATAGGGGATGCAGGTAAAGTTAAGGCTGTCCAACGGCAATATAATCCAGGGAAGTTCTGAAAATATCCTGACTATGGAATTTTATCTACTAATTGTAAAAGGAACAAATAGGTGACTCTGCACTGACAGGTCAGTGGGGCATTGTCATTGGGAGCATAGTAAGCCGGGTTATAAAGTTCATGGAATTAGAGGCATCTGGGCAGCTTAGTTGGTTAAGCATCCGAGCCTTTTTTTTTTTTTTAATGGTTTTATTTATTTTTGAGACAGAGAGAGACAGAGCATGAGCAGGGGAGGGGCAGAGAGAGGGGAGACACAGGTGCAGAATCGAAGCGGCCTGTTTGAGCCGCCGTCAGCCCAGAGCTCGACGCTACCAAACTCACGACTGCGAAAGATCGCAGGTGATCTGGCGCTGAAGTCGGACACTTAACCGACTGAGCCACCCAGGCGCCCCATAAGAGTGCATTCTGTTCCACTAACTTTAATCTGTTCCCGTGCCAATACCAGATATTGTATATAAGTATAGCATTATAGTATGTTTTGACATCGGGAAGGTCAAATCCCCTCCATTATTTTTTTCAAAACATTTTTTGGCTGTTTTTGCATAAATATTTTTCTAGACAAACTTCAGAATTGGTGTGTTGAATTCTGAAACTACATTAAACTTATACATTAACTTAGGGAAGCTTGATTTTATTTACTTTTATTTTTTCACCATTATTTTTTTAAATTGAAGTACAGGAGCGCCCGGGGGGCTCAGTCAGTTAAGCAACCAATTCTCGGTTTTGGGTCAGGTCATGATCTCACGGTTCTTAAGTTTGAGTCTCGCATCACGCTCCGGGCTGACGGTGCAGAGCCTGCTTGAGATTCTCTTTCTCCCTCTCTCTGCCCCTCCTCCACTAGTACTCGCGTGCTCTCTCTCTCCCTCTCTCAAAATAAATACACTTAAAAAAAAGTGAAGTAGAGTTGACACACAATGTTACATTAGTTTCAGGCATATGACCTTGTATTTGACAATTCTGTCTGCTATGCTACGTTCACCGCAAGTGTAGCTACTGTCGGTCAACATACAGAGGGAAACCTGATTTTAATAAAATTGATTCTCTCCATTGAGGAATAGGACATGTCTCTGTTTATTCATGTTTTCCTGTTTTTTAGTAATACATTTCTTTTGAGGGAAACCTGATTTTAATAAAATTGATTCTCTCCATTGAGGAATAGGACATGTCTCTGTTTATTCATTTTTTCCTATTTTTTAGTAATACATTTCTTTTTGTTTAGAGCTAAGTTTACACCAGGTATTTCTGTTTTTCATATTATTGCAGGAAAGGCATCCTTTTTTTCACTATATTTTAAGACTGTGTTTTTAAGACTATATTTTGAGATATTGCTGGCCTTTAATAAGTCTACTGATTTCTACATACTTAAATAATGGCCCTTATAGAAAGCACATATGGAACTTCACATAGCCATAATCATCTGACTTTGCTTAGGGTCCTGGGTACCAACAAAGGCCATGTGATAAAATAATACAGCTGAAAAGTGCAATGAAACATTAAGACCATGCTGTTCTTAATTCACACTGCGTTCAATCCTGAATAAAGATCAGGATCTTTATTCTGTGGGCGTGCAAAGCAGGGAGCCAGCAAATAACAGGGGAAATGGTCTGCTAGCAATGGGAGCACTCATGTCTCTCAGCCAACCAGACCGTGTAAAAAGGACACCAAATGTTACAAATTTCCAAAGTATAAAAGAAAGTAATAGGGGGTTGGCTGGCTGGCTCAGTCGGTGCATCATGCAACTATTGATCTTAGGGTTGTAAGTTCGAGCCCTATGTTGGGTAAAGAGATCACTTAAAAAAAAAAGTAATTAGAATCAATATTATTAGAAATATACATTACCTCCTCAGGAATTCCAATTCGCTTAGCTGGGATTCCCTCAAAGCACGCAGCAAAAGTGTCTTCTGCTAAAGGACCATAGTTGTCAACAGCAGTCGGGGAATAAATGACGCCCTATGTTTAAGAATAAAATGAGACAAAATAAAGCACATAAAACTAAATTTTAATCTCAAAGACATCAAGGCAGTCTATTGCCCAATGCCAAAAAGTAAGTGGGTTAATTTTTACAGAAAAGTCAACATCTCCAATATTAATTTTTCTCAATATTGTCAAAGAAGTGCAGCTACCATGTTACAAATGGATTATCTGAATACTCACTTTGTGACCTCCTCTCCCTTAATAACCAGACAACCCCTAGATTTTTTCTGAAAAGACTTGCTTTCTAAAAACATAACTGTGTGAATAGATCAGACAGGCACTTAACTAGGAACAGCGGGACAGGGGAGTCTACTCTATCTTCTGCTAAACTTCTCTGTTTTATAACAGAAGCCTAGGCTATGGTTATGTGAGACTTAGAAAATGCAGTATTTTCATGGGTTTTCTCTACAGTGATATCACAAATAAAATATTTGAATCCAGTATAAATAAACCAAAATTTTAATTTTTTTGGAATTCTTTTATTTAGCTTTACCAGCTTTCAAGGGTTTAGAAAGCCAAGAAAATTACGCAAAAACTGTATAACACAAAATAAAGCTATTGGTTATGAATCCATCACTACAGCAGAGGTTACAGGAGTGAGGGAGGAAACCAAAGGGTTTTGGCGGTATTCATTACTCCAAATGATAATGGGGCACTGTACTGGTTTCCAATGAAACAATTTGGAACTTTTATTTAAAGAGGATGAAACCTTCTAGAAGTATTAAGGTTTAGACATTTAACCTAAAAACATCTTCTGGAGATATATGTGACTTTGTAACACTAACATACTATTAAATGTTTTCAAGAAATGCACTTCTGGGGGCCAGTATTCGAAGATACCAACACGAAGAATGAAACTGTAATGAATTTTTTCCTACAAATACTTGAGTGTAATACGGGTAAGGTGATGTCAGCTGTGAAGGACTGAAGAGATATGAAATTTCTGGCTAGGAGCCTGCAATTTGTTACAGATGAGATTTCTCTACTCACTTCAAGTCAGTTCTTGCTTAGTTCCTACCCAGTAGCATGGATAACAATACCCAGTAGCATGGATAATAATATCTGTAGATATTATTTTTTATTTAAAAAAAATTTTTTTTTTCAACGTTTATTTATTTTTGGGACAGAGAGAGACAGAGCATGAACGGGGGAGGGGCAGAGACAGAGGGAGACACAGAATCGGAAACAGGCTCCAGGCTCTGAGCCATCAGCCTAGAGCCTGACGCGGGGCTCGAACTCACGGACTGCGAGATCGTGACCTGGCTGAAGTCGGACGCTTAACCGACTGCGCCACCCAGGCGCCCCCAGGTCTGTAGATATTATAACCACAGATGTTATAGTTTCGTATATAGGGATGATTACTATCTTAGAAAAAAAAACAAGAGACATCACAGAGAAGTGGATTTAGGCTGAGTTTTGCCAGATGAGTGAGATATTTCACATGATCTCTCTCTTGAAGTACATAGCCAGTATGTAATACCCAGGGAAGCTTAAGCTATATCTTATTTCACACACACACACACAAAATGAAATTGAACATATTGTGATTTGAACATATAGTGATTTTCCCCCCTATAATTTACAGTATGTTGCTGAGAAATTTTCTCTCGACTTCTAAACAATCTTTAACTTGAATTAGACTTCAGATTTTTCTCTCTCTCCTTGTGATGAATTAATGATATACCAAGAAATAACAAAATAATCTGGCAAAATTTGTTCTTTAAAGCAGTGGTTCTCAATCTTCACTGTGCATTTGAATTTCCTAGGTGGCTTTTAAAAATACCAATGCTTGGATTCCATAGTTTGGAGTCAAGTGTACATATTGCTAGTTTTTCAACATTTCATAGATAATTCTAATATATTGTCAAGAATGAGAATCATTGGCTTAATTTAACCTTCTTGACAATCTGGTTGTAGATCAAAGAAAGCTTCTTTCTGATTTTATCTATTTAAAAAAAAATTTTTTTAATGTTTATTTATTTTTGAAGGAGAGAGAGACAGAGCATGAGCTGGGAAGGGGAAGAGAGAGACAGGAGACACAGAATCCAAAGCAGGCTCCAGGCTCTGAGCTGTCAGCACAGAGCCCGACACGAGGCTCAAACTCACAGCCGTGAGATCCTGATCCAAGCCGAAGTCAGATGCTTAACTGATTGAGCCACCCAGGTGCCCCTGATTTTACGTATTTTTAAAAACCAATCTTTTCTAGTATACATGAGCATTAACAAATACCTCTATCAACAACACAAATGGAATCAGAAGAGAACAAGTTGTCAATAGCTTTCATATGGAAGGTTTACCTACAGGGGCAACACAGTTGATCCTTACTCCACTGCTGGCCCATTCCACAGCTAAGGTTTTGGTGAGGTTATAAACACCTTCTCTGGCAGCTCCACTGTGCCTTTAGAAGACAAAACATAAAAATTATAACCGCTGTTTCTCTCGTTAACTGACGGATGTGCCAATGACCTGTCAGAGCCCCACAGATATATTCTTGTTGAGTCTGTCTTTTTGATCCTTTTTCTGAGCACGGGGAAGGAGGGGGGGGTCCTTCAATGTTAAAGCCAAAACACAGTTATCTGATGGTCAAACAAATCTTACATTGTAGGCACACATAACATCCTCCAAAACACCATGACCGTAAAAGAAATATTTTGAAGACCTTTTTATTACATAGAAAAACTAACAAATTGGTAATTTTAAGGGTTACAAATGTGTGGGTTTTGTTTTTTGGGGGTTTTTTTGGTTTTTTTTTTGAAAGAGAGAGAGAGAGAGAGTGGACGCAAGCAGGGGAAAAGGACAGAGGGAGACAGAGAGAGAATCTCAAGCAGGCTCCAGGCTCAGTGCAGAGCCTGATGCAGGGTTTGATCCCATGACCCTGGGATCATGACCTGAGCCAAATTCAAGAGTTGGACACTCAACCAACTGAGCCACCCAGGCACCCCACAAATGTGGTTATTTTTTAAATCAATTTTAGATGATAAGGGATAAGAAATTCATACATTGGGCTAAAAATAGTATCAATAGGCTTTCTAGACACCCCAAAATTTAAATAAATTTTAATATATTTCCAGAAAGGAAGTGCAAAATACTTAGGCCTGCATCCATATGGGATCTCATGCATAAAGTACAGATATAATGTTGCTTAGAATTTCTAATTACAAGGTCCTCAGAACCAAGCATGTGAAACCCGGGGGTATATCCACTTCTCACTTAAAGACCTACAGAGCCCAACCTTCTTGAAGAAAACCTATCTCTGTTCCAGTGTTGTCCGCAGCAACCCTGGCGGGATTCCATGCAGAAGCCAACTTACTTGGTCAGAATCACCCAAGTGATCCCACAACTACCCAACGGGGCCACAACTTCTGTTGCTACTGAATCCAGCAGTCCAGGGTGGATCTACAGAACACGTTCCCGTGTCCTGTCTACTGCCACCAGTGCGAGGAGGGGCCCAATTGCAACACTCAGCTGGGACAGATAATCGAAATTGAAAACACCAGGAGCAAGAGACAGGGGCAGGAACAGACATGCTTATATAGAAGCACAACCGAGTCCTGACTCTTTCCTTCGAGGAGGACTAGAGGTGTTTGTCCCCTTGCACTCAGCCCCCTGATCACCAGGGTCACCACATGAGGTGACCTCCTCATAGAAAAAGGCTCAGCAGTTACAGAGCCCCTGAAGAAACAAGTGGCAGATGTTCAGAAACTGGTAGGCGCCCGGAGCACCTGGGTGGCTCAGTCAGTTAAGCATCTGACTTCAGCTCAGGTCATGATCTCACAGGTCGTGAGTTCAAGCCCCATGTTGGGCTCTGTGCTGACGGCTTCAGAGCCGGGAGCCTGCTTTGGATTCTATGTCTCCCTCTCTCTCTGCCCCTCCACCGCTCATGCTCTGTCTCTCTCTCTCTCAAAAATAAATAAACATTTAAACAATTTTTTTAAAAAGAAAGAAAGAAACTGGTAGGTGCCCAAGAGAGAAAGCCGCTAGAATGAGAGACAGAGGTGGAAAATCAGAAACAGATATTAGTGAATCCCCATCAGGACAGAACAGATGCTGGACAATTCAGCTTTGGAGTGATGACTATGTCACATGAAGTGCTGTTCCAGTCACTCTTCTGCTAAAGGAAAAGCCGAGAGAGACTGGCATTTATCTGAACTAGGAGTTGAGTGAAATTATATTTTACCATTTCCATGACAAGCTCACATCCTCTTTCAATCACCAATTTCTGTATCAGGTAATATCTGAAACCTCTTGCAGTCTGTGTGGGAACAGATTACAAGTAATAAACTGCCTTGAAGGCTGTCACATTGCTTCATTTTCTTCCTGTCATTTATAAATAGGAGGCAGGATGATGTACAATTGTCAGTGAATAGAGCACTAACAAATGTTTCAAATGCTTCTGCAACTTACACACATAAAACCATACAGTATATGCTCTTTTTCATTTGGCTTCTTTCACTCAGAATAATTATTTTGAGATTCCTCCATGTTGTTGCCTGAGCTAATAGCTCATTTGCTCTTATTTCCAAGTAGTAGTATGTTACATAGATAGACTACAATTGGTGGATTCATTCACCCGCAGATGGGCATTTGGGCTACAAACTGTCTATCCATGTGAAATGGGAGTTCGTTTTTTGGCTAATCTTTTGCCCTTGTAATCATGAATAACCACCCAAAAGATCAGCAGGTCAGGCTAAACTCCCCCACATAGATGTAACAGAAAAAATGTAACGTCTTAGGCAACATTAAGAAAAGTGTGCCAAGGAGCAACGCAGTTCAAACACACACACAAGATATCCAGATAGCCTTTCAACAAATCAAAAGGTGCTCCATTGAGAAGATCATTTCTTGCCTATCAGAGTTGTCCGGAAGTTGTTAACACACATTTTGGGTGAGGCTCTAGGGAACATGCACACTCATATTTTGCTGGTGGGAGTGCAAACTGGAAAGAAATTTGGAAATACCTAGGAGTTTTGTTTTTCTTTTTAACTTTTTTAAATGTTTTATTTTTGAGAGAGAGAGAGAGAATGGGGGAGGGGCAGAGAGAGGGAGACACAGAATCGAAAGCAGGCTCCAGGCTCTGAGCTGTCAGCACAGAGCCCAACTCAGGGCTTGAACCCAGGAACAGCAAGATCATGACCTAAGCTGAAGTCGGACACTTAACCGACTGAGCCACCCAGGAGCCCCTGGAAATACCTAAAAGCATTTACCTTTCACCTTCACCCAACAATCCATCTTCCAGAATGTATGGTAAACATATAACTCCACAAATATGAAACAAATATGTACAGTGTTATTCACTGCAGAATTATTTATAATAGCGAAATGTAGAAACAATATAAATTTCTAGTAACTTTGAGATAATATGTGCATTTGGAAAGAGGAATTTGAAAATAAGTCCATAAGTCCATAGTGGTATACCAAAAAATTTAATGATAATAATGATAATTGTAATAAATATACAGATAAGGAAGGAATGGCTGTTGCAAAGAAGTCTTTTTATGAATTACCAGCTAATAAATATAGAAGCAATTATGAAATCAGAAAAATTAACATTGCCCCACCATTAACGTAATAAGTGATTCAGGTAAGAATCACCAGTGGTTGCAAAAATCACAATGGAAAACAGAATATTCCCGCAATACCAAAATATCACCCTATAGATTACAGATGATGGACTAATGATAAAGGAATTCAGATCACTGTCTTACTTAGTTAAAAGGTTTTTTTCTGGGATGAGAAAGGATAGAGCATTCAACTTTGTACCTTATGCAGTTTTGTATATATATAAAAACTAGCATGCATGTTTTTATAACACTAAGATAGACCTATTTCATAAAACATTCTATGTTGGAAAATAAAATTTTTTTCATAAAAAAATGGAAGGAATCAGAACTTATAAAAGATATGAAGGAAATCAGCAAAACGAATTTTTTTCTAAAACCAGACTTTTTACCTGCTAAATGTGTGGTCTTCAAGTAGCTTCCTAGCACATTGTTTTTCTCTTTGTTCTATGTGGATGTCCTTTTAGATTATTATGAAAGAATCTACTGAGCCAGTACAGGAAATTAGTTCATTGATGGACTTTTAAAAAAAAAATCAGTTTCCAACATAATATTTTACCAAAATCAGAATAAGAGTGAAATATGTCAAATTCCACTATGGAGTAACAATTCAGCAGTTCTGTCTAAAAATGAATAGGCATATTCACAGTATTCTAATCTAAATTAGCCTAGATTAGTTTTATTTCCACACGCTAACAAAAAAAGATATCTCGAGAAAATGATGACAAGTTTAGCGACATCTGGATAAGGGTTACTGGATAAAATATAGAACATTCCGTTAAATTTGAATTTCAGATAAATAACAACAACAACAACAACAAAACTTTAGCATAAAGATGCCCCATGCAATATTTGGGACAGACTTATAATAAAAAATGTAATGGAGCATCTGTTTTTCTTTTCTTGGTAAATCTGGCAAGTCTCATATGGATGGAAATTTTTTGGAAGTACATTTTCAACATTCAAATAAAGGGAATAGCTAACTATTGAGATTGAAACTTATTAAAGGATTAAGGATCGTGACTTATGACGTTTTCTCCACCCTACTCCCCCCTATTCAGAAGACAAAACCCAAAGATATAGAAAAATATACATATATGTATGTGTGTGCTTACACAAATCCTGGGAGTCCATTCTTAGTAAGGATAATAATATTGACAATAGACCCTCCATGTTCTTTCATCCACGAGCTGTAAACTGCAGGAAAAAGACCAGTGACAAACGTGTGACTCTCATCCCCTGTCCCAGCATGTTGCTTTTTATTTTAAAATTTTTAATTTCCATTTCCTTTTTATAAAAAGCCTGATTGGGCATAATGTAGGGATCACAAAATTCATCCACTTCATGTGTACAACTTCAAGACTTTTAATAAATATACAGAGTCATGGAACCACCATCACAATCCAATTTTAGAATATTTCCATTACCCCCCAAAAGTTCCTTGGTACCTTTCTGCAGTTCAAGCCATCCCCAAGCAAACCCTCATCTACTTTCTGTTTATATAAATTTGCCTTTTCTCAACATTATGTATAAAGGAAAACACACAATATGTGGTCTTTTGTGTCTGGCTTCTCTCACTTAGAATAATGTTTGTGAGCTTCATCCAGGCTGTAACATGTGTCAACAGTTAACTTTTCTTGCCGAATAGTATTCTATTGAATGGATATGCCATATTTCATTTTTCCATTCACCAGCTGATGAACGTTTGGATTGTTTCCACTTTGAGGTGATTATGAATACAAACCTTTATGTGGACATATGTTTTTATTTCTCTTGGGTGGAAGTGCTGGGTCATATCATATGGTAACTGTAGGTTTAACTTTTTAAGAAACTGCCAGACTATTTTCCAGTGTCTCCACCATTTTACATTCCTACCAGAAATACATGAGGGTTCCAGTTTCTGCACACTGTTATTGTCTAACTTTCTGATTACAGCCATTCTAATGGGTATGAAAGGATATTTCACTGAGATTTTTTTTAATGCTTTTATTTATTTCTGAGAGAGAGAGAGACAGAGACAGAGCAAAAGTGGAGGAGGAGCAGAGAGAGAGAGAGAGGGAGACCCAGAATCTGAAGAAGGCACCAGGCTCTGAGCTGTCAGCACAGAGCGCGATGCAGGGCTGGAACCCATAAACCACGAGATCATGACCTGAGCCGAAGTAACGCACTTAACCAACGGAGCCACCCAGGTGCCCTTCACTGAGCTTTTGACTGGCATTTCCCTAATGACTAATGGTGTTGAGAATCTTCTGATGTACTTGTTCATCATTTATATATATTCTTTGGTGAAATATCTATTTAAATCTCTTGCACATTTTTTAATTGGTTTGTTTTCTTAACATTGAATTATAAGAATTCTTTTTACATTCTGGATACAAATTCTTTATCAGATATGTGATTTGAAATCTCTTCTCCCAGTTTATGGCTTATCTTTTCATTTTCTTAATGTTATCTTTTGAAGCACACACGTGTAATTCTGATTAAGTCCAGCTCATCAGTTTTTTTACCTTATGCATGGTATTTCGGGTGGCGTATCTCAGGACTCATTGCCTAAGCCAAGGTCATAAAGATTTTGTCCTTTGTTTGCTTCTAAAAGTTACAAAATTTTACTTTTTGCTTTTAGGACCACGGTCCATTTTGCACTTCGGGTTTGCCTTCACTTATGGTGTGAAGTAAGAGTCTTTTTCTTGTATGTGCATATCCAACTGTCCAAGCACCATCTGTTGAAAAGACTATCATTTCCCCAAGCAAATGCCTCGGTCCCTTTGGCAAAAATCGTAAATATAACGGTTTGACCACAAATATAAGGATTTATTTCTGGACTGTCAAATCTGTCCCAATGTATGCATCTATCCTTATGCTAGTACCACACTGTCTTGAAACCAAGAAGTAGAAGTCCTCCAACTTTCCTCTGTTGCAAAACCGTTATTTCTGAAAAATTTCAAAAATTTCTAAAAATTTCGTTATTTCGAGCTATTCTGAGCCCTTTGCACTTCCACGTGTATTTTAGGATCTGTTTGTCAATTTCTGCAAAAATAATAGAGACTGCACTGAACCTACAGATCAACTTGGGAAAAACTACCATCTTAACAATATTGTATTTTCTAATTCACAAACATCAAATGTTTTCCCATTTATTTTCATCTTCTTTCATTTCTGGCAGCAATGTTTTGTAGTTTTTAGATACGAGTCGTATCCTTTTCTATTCTATCCTTTAACTTCATTCTTTAAGTATTTTACCTTTTTGAAGCCCCATTTGATATTTAGCCATCAAGTCCATTCATATAAATCAAGACAATGCCAGAGATGTTCCCTCAAGACTAGCTTTAACAGAAACCTAATTTTTAATGATATTTATTTATTTTTTTAAATGTTTATTTATTTTTGAGGGAGAGAGAGAGAGAGGCAGAGTACAAACGGGGAGGGCAGAGAGAGAAAGAGAGAGGGTGACACAGAATCTGAAGCAGGCTCCAAGCTCTGAGCTGTCAGCACAGACCCTGACACGGGGCTTGAACTTAGGAACCCCAAGATCATGATCTGAACTGAAGTTGGACACTTAACCGACTGAGCCACCCAAGTGCCCCAGAAATCTAATTTTTAGAATGTAAAGGCCAGAGAACAATTCAAGACCCTCCTATTAAAAGTTCAGGCAAAAATAAGAGTGCCTTCCAATTATTACTTAATGCTTTCTAGTGAGTTCTGACCAATTCACAGAGTATGACAGAAAAAGCAGGTAAAGCCACTAGAAAAGAAGATATCAAATACAGTATTTTAAAATTCTAAGACAATTCTTTCATATTATTTTCACATTATTAATTTTTTTAGATTTTATTTTTAAGTACTCTCATCACCCAACATGGGGCTCGAACTCATAATCCTGAGATTAAGAGTCACGTGCTCTACCGACTGAGCCAGCTAGGTGCCCCTATTTTCACATTTTTCAAACTGGGATATGTCTTACAGTTGGTGGCTTCTTAAGATACACAAGGCACTGTTTGTACTTTCTTAGTGATATACAAAATGGTGCATTTCTGAATTGACTATATCTTTGACTCAATGAAATACAGTATTTATTTTTAGACAACATGATTGTACGTCTAAAACACCCAAAAGACTAATTAAAAAAAAACTGTTAAAGCTACAAATTGCTAGATAAAGTTACAAGCTCAGCTTGAAAAAATAATTCTTCTATAAACCAACAATAATCCAGTTGAAAAATAATTGGGAAACAGCCCATTCAAAATAGCAAGAGTCATCAAAAATACCTAAGCATAACCTTAATTAAAAAAAAAATATATGAGTTCTATATGACGAAAACCACAAATCTTTGCCAAAAAAATATAAAATAAGTATCTATTAATAGAAAGACATGCCATTATGATATATTCATTACTTTAGGGTAATAATTTCACAGGTAGACACATTTGTCAAAGCTGATTACATTACACTTTAAATGTTAATTTAATATTTTTACCTCAATAAAGTTGTAAAATGTGAAAAAAAAAAGGAAGACATGCCATTATGGAAAGACAATATTTAAACATGGTAACTATTTTCAAATTATTGACAAATTTTTTAAAAAAATTTTTTTTTTCAACGTTTATTTATTTTTGGGACAGAGAGAGACAGAGCATGAACGGGGGAGGGGCAGAGAGAGAGGGAGACACAGAATCAGAAACAGGCTCCAGGCTCTGAGCCATCAGCCCAGAGCCCGACGCGGGGCTCGAACTCACGGACCGCGAGATCGTGACCTGGCTGAAGTCGGACGCTTAACCGACTGCGCCACCCAGGCGCCCCCAAATTATTGACAAATTTAACACAATTCCAATCAAATTCCCCACCAGGATTTTTGAGGAAAAAACCTGAATATAAAATTCGTCTGAAAGAATAAAAGGTCATGAATAGCCAAGAAAAAGTTTGAAAATGAAAACAAATAAAGCACTGCGTGCCATACTGAATATCTAAAAAACTTATTAAGAAAAAAAAAAGAAAGGGGAATAAGTTTATTTAAATGACCCTAACACAGACCTTCTGCTTCTGTTAGCACTCTGACATCATTTTTGTTTTTCCCCTGACACTTTTCCTGGGTATTACAGGAATATTTCTTCACGCTATTTGAGAGAATCAGACGCCAATCACAAGTGCAGCTTATTTCCCTGTGCTTCAGACCAACTGGCTATAAATCAGAAGTTCCTATGAGCTCTTCCTTGGATTTGACTAATCTGCTCTTGAACTCAGGAAACTAGTTCACTCACTAAATTACCCATTTGTTACAAAGCATATTAAGAGATATGAACCAACAGGCAGATGAAGAAATACACGGGGCAAGGTCCTGAACAAAGAAGCTTCCGTTCTGTGGAGTTTGAGCCTGGCATGGTGTCACATGTTCTGATTACCAACCCTATCCTTTGATTTTTCATTACAGAGTTGTGACTAATTAAATCTTTGGCCACTGGTCACTGATTTGACCTTCACCCCTCTCTGCTGCCCAGAAATCAGTGTTGGTTCCCTACCAACCAGCTCGTACCCCATCTTTAGGGAATTTCCCAAAGTCACCTCATTAACATACTCAGTTGTGGTTGAACAGGGCTTGTTATGAATAACAGACACTCATTTCACCCTTACGGTCCTAAAGCCATTTCAGGTACTGAAGACAAGAAGACCAAGTGTTATAACAAAAGACTCTCCCACTGTTCTTAATGCTCAGGAAATCCCAAGGGCCAATGGGAGCTATGAACCAGGAACTGGAGACAGACCAAAACATACACTCATTACAAATCACAACATCACAGTCCCCAGTGATTCTGGAACTACCGTGTTATCCCTAACTACCTACCTGAACTTTTTACATGAGGGTGAAACAAACTATCTTATTTAAGCTCCCGTTTTTTTCTATGGTCTCTACACTGGAACAGCTAGTCACAACTAATATAAAGCTTTATATTGCTGGTTAGATAAAAAGGCTGGGAACGTCTGCAAGCCTTTGACTTAGAGATATTAAGAAGATAAAGCCTAACCCATCTTGGGGTAAAGACCCTTTTGGTTGGAATTATACTTGTTCTGTGGTTTTTATCATAAAAAAATGTCTTGGAAAGTTTGCAAGAAAACCCTTGAGTTACTCAACTTCAGGAGTTGAGCATCACCACCTTAACACATGACTTTCAGTCCAAAGATTATGTATGCTAGCTAATTGTTAGCTGGAAAGAATGTGGACTCTATCCAGTGTTCTCCCTGAAGATTTCATAAGTTAATGAACAGGCCCTTATAACAGATTCATTTCTTTAAAACAAAGTGTGAGAGGTTTTTTGTTTTTTGTTTTAAATTTCAGGGACAACTTTGTAGCTATATCTTTGTACAGATCCATAATAATTTTCTCATGACAAATTCCTAGAAATAAAATTACAAGATCAAAGCATATCCATATATTATAAATACTGCCAAATTACTATCCAGAAAGGGAACAATTTACATCCCTGTGTTGTATGGGAGTGAACCAGGGCAGCAAATGTTGATGATATGGAGTTTCTGCGCCTCTAACAATTCTCTTTCAAGATTTTCTATAATCTTTAAATAAGGACACTTTGACTTTTTTGGGTTACTGATCATACTTGCCTGCTTTGCACATGTAGAAAGTGCCCGTCAAGTTGGTTTCGATCACAGCATGCCATCCCTTTGCACTGATGTGTTCTGCAGAAGACATGAACTGGCCTCCTCCATTGTTGACCAAAAAATTGATCTTACCATAAATATCTAAGGTGGATTTGATCAAACTGTTCACCTGAAGAAAAATGTTAAAAGTAAGGTGGTTAATAACCTAACTTGCTACTTGGACCGATAGCTTGCTCTAGAGAGGAGAAGAACTTGCCGTCTGTAATGGGAAATGGTAACTCTGAGTACCATAATACCCACAGATCAGAAAACTAAATTGGTAATTCTGATGACAAGATTTAGCCAAGAGCCTGGATCACTTCTGAATACAAGCCTCCTGAATACAAGCACTTCTGAATTTGTAAGCTGTAAACCCAGAATAATGAATAGTACTAAAATAGGTTAATGTCAACATTAAGAAATGACTTAAAAGGGGTGCCTGGATGGCTCAGTTGGTAGGGCATGTGACTCTTGATCTCAGGGTTGTGAGGTCAAGCCCGATGTTGGGTGTAGAAATTAACGATTACTTATAAACAAAACTTTAAAAAATTAAAAAAAAAATTTTTTTTTTAAAGAAATGACTTAAAGGGCAAAAAGGGCACAAAAGGTAATCTCACTGAGACCACATCCTTTCTTTGCTTCCTGATCTTGTTTCTCTCCATCTCCTTCCCTGGACGTAATTCACTCAGTAAATCATTGGCAAAAGAATCTCTTTCATAGGCTCTGCTTTCAGTTAATCTCATCTAAGACAGTTACCATAGGAACATCTGTAGCACAGGTTTAGAAGCTACTACTATAAATTAAAATAAATGAATAAATGATATAGACATATTTGTATTACCTCCTCTTCTTTGCGAATGTTGCATTTTATGGGAGTGACCTGAGCCTGGTTGGTGTGGGGCAGGCTGGCTTTCAGTTCTTCTGCAGTCGATTTTAATCTATTAAAGTTACGAGATGCAATGACCACATTACACTCTGAAAAGAAAACAGACAACAAGTAAATATGCTTTCCCTGGTTGTCTAAATTTTTTTTAACTTTTTTTCAATGTTTATTTATTTTTGAGAGAGACAGAGCACGAGTGGGGAAGGAGCAGAGAGAGAGGGAGACCCAGAATCAGAAGCAGGCTCCAGGCTCTGAGCTGTCAGCACAGAGCCCGACGTGGGGTTCGAACCCACGAACCGTGAGATCATGACCTGAGGTGAAGTCAGACACTTAACCGACTGACCCACTCAAGTGCCCCATTGATTGTCTAAATTAAAAAAAAAAAAAAAAAAAAAAAAAAAAAAAAAAATACTAATGTTTAGGAAATATTTCACGTGTTCCCATAAAAAAGATTAAAAAAGAAAGATGAGTCGGGACTTCTGCTTCTGGTTACGACGGAGCATCAATAACCAAGTTTACCCTCCAGACCGAAACAACTGAAGAACTAGACAAAGTATATACAACAATGGTTTTCAGGCACAGGACACGGGTACCATGACGTGGCTATCTCGGAGAGTGGAAACAAACACTGTGAGTACTATGATCATTCCAGCTTACCGCCTGGAGACAGTGTCCAAAGTGCAGCACAGGGAGGAGGAGGAAACCATTCAGAGCCCAGGAAGAGACGAAGATGGGAGTCCCAGAGGCCAAAACTAGGTTACATAGGGCAGAGAGAGAAGATAAGTCACAGAGCAATAACTCCAGAGATCTGCAGAGTTCCCTCAAATATTCAGCTGAGCACTGAACAGTGCATTGAGTGAAAAAAACTATCTGAGGCTGGGGAAAGAACCAGCCCAAAGGAGCAGAAACAACAGACCCTGACATTCACACAGCACTGAGAATAGTGTTCCCACCAGGCAAAACCTTTCAAGGGCCAATGGGAAAAATACGCAGAAGAGTATGGCCTCAGTAGTGAAGCAAAATTAGCCCTAGGTTAAAGGCCATTCAGGTCAACACTTAACATACAACAAGCCTCTCCTAAGATATCAAACTGTTTCCAACTAACTTAAGTGCATCTTTTTTTTCTTTTTTTAAATTTTTTTTTCAACGTTTTTTATTTATTTTTGGGACAGAGAGAGACAGAGCATGAACGGGGGAGGGGCAGAGAGAGAGGGAGACACAGAATCGGAAACAGGCTCCAGGCTCTGAGCCATCAGCCCAGAGCCTGACGCGGGGCTCGAACTCACGGACCGCGAGATCGTGACCTGGCTGAAGTCAGATGCTTAACCGACTGCGCCACCCAGGCGCCCCATGTGCATCTTAAAACAAAACTCAAGAATATACAAATAACCAGCATTGAACAAGGTAAAATTCAAATGTCTATCATCCAGCAAAAATTTTACCAGTCATGCAAAGAAGCAGATAAATAGAACCCATAATGAGGAGAAAAGTCAATTAATAAAAACAGAACCAGAAATGGCACTGACAACAAAATTAAACAAATTCGTGATAAAGAGAAAAATATTAAAAGCAGTCAGAGAAAAAGAACAGAACAAAAAGACAAGGAAGACAGAAGACTTCTTTTTCAGAAATACTGCAAGCCAGAAGACAGTGGAAATGGCTTGAAAGTACTGGGGAGGGGCAGAGGGTGGGCATTTGGGAACCCAGAAATCTTGACCCAGTGAAAACAGTTTTCAGAAATGATGACAACATGAAGACCTGTTCACACATATAACAGCTGGAAGAGTTCATTAAAGCAGACCTGTATTACTTAAAAGAGTAAAGGAAGTCTTTCAGATGGAAGGACAATGATACAGATGGAAATCTAAATTACCAGAAACGCCAATTATGTGAGTAAATACAAAGACTATTCTTCTTTCTATTCAAGTCTCTTTACTTTTTTTTTTTATTTTTTTAATGTTTATTTATTTATTTTGATGGGGAGGAGAGAGACACTATCCCAAGCAGGCTTTGCACTGTGAGCGCAGGGCCCGATGAAGGGCTTGGATCCCATGAATCGTGAGCTCATGACCTGAGCTGAAATCAAGAGCCAGACGCTTAACTGACTCAGCCACCCAGGCACCCCTATTCAAATCTCTTTAAAAGGTGGAGATTGTTTAAAGTAAAAATGGTAACAATGCACTGTAGGATTTATAACCTATGTAAAAATAAATGTGTGGGAACAACAGTGTGATGGCCAAAAAAGGTGAAATAGCAGTACAGGCAGTCCTTCTTTTGCTCAGCTCTAACACGCACGAATTTCAATTGTGTAAGCTTAGTTGAACAACATAAATCCCTCAGCAACATGGTTCAAACTTCAGTTACCATGACATATTAACGGTGAGTAATTGTATAAAATACAAGCTGTTCCATCCACAAATCACCATTGAATAACAGATGCACATCATGATCAGTGACTAATCATGTCACTTCTTTCAATGTCTGCCCATGATTGGGCACCATGCATGCTTTCTTCAATTCACACACAGACAGCAAAGAAATACAGTCATGTTGTGTCCAGGTCTCCCAGTGATAAGCCTATGATTCAAAGAGGGCTGGTCCAAAAAGATGAAAGAAAATACAACAAAGAAATAAAAATTGGTAACACTGGAAGTGAAATTAGAATTGAATGGAAAGGGAGTTATAAGAGGAATAGTCATTCAGGGGCATACTGACACTGCCATCAGTGTTTTCCTGAAGTACAAATTCTAAGCTATGACATACTGGAATATCTAGTCACCTTACTGAGTGAAAATGAACCTTAGTGTCCACTGTCGCCTGATGTCTTAGCTCCTCCTAAAGAGACTGCTTCCCTTTTTTCATAGACAAATGTATAAATGTATCAGAAATACTGGCCAAGGCAGCCTCAGAGCACATAGAGCAAGAAGCCTTGCCAACTCTGGACTTCTCAGAGGTACACAGTAGATTTTAATTAAACTATACTGATAATTACAACTATATTGATAACTCTCCTCTCTCTCCCTCACCAAGCCGAGGCTGGTAGTCCCTTCTACATGCTACTATACCCCTGTCCTCACCCTAACACAGTATTTAAGCCCATGTTACATTGTAATGACCTGTTCTTAAGAGTCTCCCCCACACGCTGGCTGTCACCCCCAGAGGAGGGACCTGTTGTTACCATAATCGTTACACTAGCACAAAGTCCACATTCAATATACACATGTGGAATAAATGGAGTTTATAAAGGTAAACAGTAAGAAGGGTCTCCACGTGACCACAATTATTTTAGTTGTATGGGATGAGCGAGCTTCTGCATATCAAAAGAAGGCACTTAAAGAAAACTATTTTTCAAGTTCACGTTGTAATTTAGTAATCTCCAATAGAGACAACTTTTGGAAATTCTGATGGGCATTCTGAAAGCTTTACAAAGCAAACACTGAAAAGATTCACCATGGGTTCCTGGTAAAACAAGACTAACTTTAAAACAGAATTAAATTTATCAAAATGGATGTGTAACTTTCAGCACAGCATCAATTATACTGTTAGGAGAACTCTTGTTTCCTTTTAGCTTGTTACCAGGTAGGCTCTATTCCCAGAAGGGAAAATAAAAATTTGAAATAAAAATTTGGCATATTCTTTTCATATGCCTTTAAACTTTATTTACATGGTTTTTTCATTCAATGAGGATTTACATCTTCTCGTATAAGTAAACTTGTCCATTTTCCCCTTTGTGGTTTCTTTACTTGTTTATGTGCTTACAAAATCCTCCCTTTCCCCAAGTTCGGGTAAATATTATAACAACTGTGTGCAGATTATATATGATGGGAGTCTCTTGGGTGTTAAGACCTTTAACAGTTAAGTGAAGTGAAATGAAGTTTTCCCGTGTTTCTTCATTAGGTAATACATAAGATGGATTAATTTTAAGCACACATCTACAAATACTTCCATAGCATGTTCCCAAAGGTGTCCTTATTCCCCACTTCGGGCAATGTATCTTTGATTCTAACTGTTCCCTTTAGCTTACAAACAATGGTTTCATTACTCAACGTTTCCCCACAATTTCTTAGGAAGGACTCTCTTCTTGCCCTCCCCCGCCCCCGCTCTGGTTTCAAGTTCACCCACGTCTCCAGCTTCTTTGCTTAGCAAGTCCAGGTCTCCGAGCGGTGCCTAGTAGCTCCAGGCACCCCGACCCCAGGTTATGCCAGGGTATCTCTGCGTTGTCTGGCCCAGGGGCTTGCTCACGTACCCAGGTTCAGGAGCTCGATGGCGATGGCCTTTCCGATACCCGTGGCCCCGCCGGTGACGATTGCCAATTGGTCCTTCAGCAAGCCGGCCGCCAAGCAGCTCTTGCCCCTTCCCAAAAGGCCCATCTCCACGGCGCGTCCGAGTCCCAGGAGCACTGAAGTCCCACAGCCTGGGAGGTAAGCGGGGCCTTTAGTTACTGGTCAGCCCTGGCCCCGCCCCGTGGCCCCGCCCCGTGGCCCCGCCCCGTGGCCCCGCCCGCACGCCGAGGCCGGTCCCCAGCCTCCCAGCGGATGGCTGCTCCCGGGAGGCGGCTTCCTGACTCCGTCTGGGTCCTCCGCCAGACTTTGTCCCCGGCACGTGTAGGTGAGACTGCTTGTTCGTTGCTTTTTCTTTCTTTCTTTTTTTTTTATTTCGATGCCATTGTGGGGACCGGAGGAAGGGAAGCAGACAAAAAGCGGGCGTGTGCTCTCTCGAAAAATTCAATCCTCAGTGCTATACCTCTCGTGGTTAATTAAGATGAAATAAATCTCCAGGGCATCTGGGGAAAGAGAGGCTGCAGCTCGGGAGCCCTGCTGCGCCCGCCTGCCTCCGACGTCCATGGATGCTCTGGCTCCAGTGGCTGTGGACCTCTGCTGGGAAGGAAAGAGGCAGGATTAGCCGCGGGGGAAGAAATCTGGCCTCCAGATCCTTTCACCCTTTGGAAGAGACCCCGAGGAGGGGGTGGGGGGAGGGAGTGAAGGGTGCCGTTGCAGTAATCCACAGAACCAAGATACTAAATGATTTTAAAAAATAAACTAGAACCCACCTCCAACTCGTCTCCCTTTCCCCGCCCAGCAATGAACAGAAGAGGCAACATTTACCAGGTTTGAGATCTAATCCATTTCAGCCGGGCATAAATTGATGAGTCTGCGTGCTGTCTGCAAGAACGCATCTGTAGGTGTGTGAGATCCTATCCTCCAGTTCATTCCTTAGGGAAGCGAGCATCCTGAGGATGGGGGAAATTTCTTACCGGCGGTTTGATACCCAGTAACGGTGAGTTATTATTATTCAGATCCTCCTCCGTATCGTCTAGCTTCATGCTGTCAACCCACCAGAGTGAGCTTATACCTGGACTGGCCTAGTGAGACGTGGCCTAAGAATTTGGCAAATCTGGGGGATGTGTGTGGTGCTGTGGTCTTCACAATCCAGGCAAGATGCTATTTCTAAGTCTGCAGTCAGAGTACTGTATTTTCCCCTGCAAGGTATTGAGATGTTGTAAAAGCAAACAAATGCCATCATTCTTTTGTTGGGCCCACCCATCAGCTGGTTATTCACAAAGCTAATTAGAAATGGGGTTTGTTGAAAGTGGAATCAGATATCACTTCCTCTCTGGCCCTTCATCCCCCTGCCCTTCTCTGACCTCCTTTAAGAAATACTTGCCCGTCTGTCTTTGCAGATGACAGCTTCCAATCTACACTCATTAAAGAAGGGAAGAAATCTCTTTATCCTCCCATTTGCTAGATAGTGATTTGATTCCAGTGACAAAGTATTTTTCTTAAACAGGAAGAGAAACAGTGAGTCAATTCTGAGGGCTTTCCTATTCCAGAAAATTCCATGCTTTCTTTCTTGGGAGCAAAGAGCACCTTAAATTTCTTTTAAAGATAATTTTATCAAAGATATAATTTAATGTGGTTTGAGACATGGTTTGGACCTGTGGATTCACAGAGCTGTGGCTGCCCAGGTGGGTCAGTGTGTGCCTAGCTGTGCTGCACCTTTGCACGGCAGTTGGGCTGGGGGCGGGGAATTGAGGGATTCTGCAGTCCTCCAGTGAGAAGGTGACTGCACTAGCTTTAAGCCAGTTTTGCCTCTTGAGGATGACAAGGAGCCATTCCTTGGGTGCAAGGAAGTTGCAGTCTGAACAGTCAGAAAGCTCTATTTTTACAGTCCAAAGAGAATCAGTGATTACGAGAGATGTGGGGTCTCTTTTGAGAGATCCTCTGTTAAAATGAAAGGGCCTGTGCTCTTTGCCACTGCCTCTCACTTCACTGAGGGTTTGAAAGTCTGATTAACCCCCAAAGGCCTGGAAGTACAGAAACAGCTGCCTCTTGGAGGCTCTTTGTTTCCAGATTTTAATTCTGGCTCCTGTGTGAGCCATCTCCTCTGTGGGCATCTACGCCAGGCTCCACTGACATTCCTTTGGCTGAATCAAATGCTACCCTGTGCTCTGCATCACTGCCCCCTTTGTCCTAGGGAAAAAGGCATCTCCAGGGCCATGATCCTTTCACACTCCCCCTCTGTCATACCCTATTAGCACTGACTACTGACTCCCTTCATCTTCTGAGATGCTCACGCATCTTTCCACCCCTGCCCCCCACCCCTCCCGTCTGCCTGGTAACTTCCTTTTCTCCTGCCTCAAAGCAGCTGCTGGCTCCTACTGACTGAGGCCTGTGAGACTCAGCATTCAGAGAATCTCGGTGCTAAAAGAATGTCAGTGAGGCATCTCGTCACTTCCCACCTAGAAGAAAGAGCAGGCCTGAACCAACTCACCTAAATAAGATTCTTAACCAGCTTTTTCTTAAGCAGTATTTTGCCAATATTTATTGAGTATCTGCCACATGCTGGGTACTGTTTAGGTGTGAATCATACGGTACGGGGGACAGTACAGTTAGGTGTCCTGGCCTTTGGAGAGCTTTTTTTTTTTTTACTGTTTATTTATTTATTCATTTGAGAGAGAGAGAGAGAGAGACCAAGAGAGAGTGCGAGTGGGGGAGGGGCAGAGAGAGAGGGAGACAGAGAATCCCAAGCAGGCTCTGAGCTGTCAGCACAGAGCTCGATGCGAGGCTTGAACTCACAAGTTGTGAGATTGTGACCTGAGCCGAAACCGAGAGTTGGATGCTCAACAGACTAAGCCACAGGCGCCCCTTGCCTTTGTAGAGTTTTTATTCTAGTAAATATGTGTGACGGCAGTGGGAATGGAAGGGTAGAAGAGGTATATGTGTCATGGGAGGTAGGACAATAAACAAATAAAAGATTAGACAGTGAAAATCCAGTTTTACAGCTCTTCACAGTAAGATGTGCAAGCTCCTAGTAACCCACTACCATCACTAACAGGAACTCTTTCCTCTGTAGACAGTCAGATGCCTCTGGATGATGAACCAGCCACAGTGTGAAGGCTTTTCAGGACAGGTAGGTTGAGCAATGACAAGAGAAATACTGCTCCCAGGACCATGAAGGAACAGGGTATAATCTAACTCACAGCCAGTTTGCAGCAACTGGCAAGAAGTTGGGAGGTTGGCAGGTCCTGTCGCCTCATTGTTCCGATCACTTGTCATCAGTCTGAGCTAAATTCCCTTCCACCTTTACATTGGTGTGGCTGTCTTCTTGGCAGGGGCCAGTGGTAATTTTCAGTGGTAAAATAGTTAACATTTTTTTTTCCTAGCCGGCCTATTGCATCTCACGGTGGTAAAATCACAGTGCTACTGGCAGAGTATGGAGACTCCAGACAGGTGATAAGTGACCCTTTGGGTGACAGCTACAGGAATCAGAGAAGAATTGAAAGAGCAGTAAGGCTGGAGCAAGGCACAGTTCACTGCAGTAATAGTAGAAATTAACTTGAAAATGATCATGCTCTACCCTTCCAGCCCCAGTTCAGGTTCCTTGGAAGAGGGAGATGTGTCCATATGGGAAAGGTACAATAAAACAACTCCTGGGGGGTGGGGAATAAAAGAAAACCAACCAACGAACCAAACAAAACAAACAAATAAAACTCCTGATTGTTCTTAAATCAATGGCACAGGGCACCCTGATTTGGAAACTGTATAAACCAAAGGTGGCAGAATAGCAGACCATTTATGTTCTGTTTTGGTTATTTGTGTGGTGATTTATTTAAATTTGGACTAATCATGACAATAAAATCAGGAACTTTCACACGAAATTCCAGACAACCCATACCAAACGGGCCTGCATTTCTCTGTGAAAGCACTTGGTTGAACAGTGGGCTTGGTGGGTTGAAGAGAGGGAAACGATAACTTCCTGTTTCAGACAAGACCTGAACTCTTATGCTTACCATGGCCCCCACCACTCCTTATTGTAGCCAGATGTTGAACCTTGTTGTCATTGCCACTTACTAGCTTTTTTCCAGCCATAATTCATCCATGTGAGTTACTTTCCTTCCTGCAATTAATTGCACATAAGGGCAGAGGCTTCAAAGCTTCCTGGTTTCTCCCCCCACCAAATCCCCAAGTTCTGCAGGGTATCTGGATGGGTTTGGAGAAGGCACTGGATCACGTTTGCTCCCGTGACCACCTGGGAGCAGAGAACTGTGAGCAGACTCCAGGAAATTGTGCCTACTAGTGAGAGGTCCTTGAACCAGCAGTGGAACACCACTCTGGAGATGTGTGTTTTGAGCAGGGCTGGGGGCAATTAGTGACTGAGTGATTGGAGGGGGGCTGGCCAGCAGGAAGCAAGAACTAGAGTCCTTTGTGATGACTTAGCCCTACAAAGGCATTATAGCTCGATAGGGATGCTCATTTTGTGGTGTTGTGAGTCTTTGGGCTTTTACTGAATGCCTAAGAGCTGTTGGTTTTCTTTTAATAAAACTGCTTTGGGGACACTGTTGGCTAGCTTACTAAAGCAGAGAACACTATCTGTCTTAGTCTGTCCAAGCTGCTATAATAAAAATACCATATACTGGGTGGTTTAAATAACAAATATATTTTTCTCATAATTCTGGATGCTGGAAAATCCAAGATCAAGGTACTGGCAGATCCAGTGTCTGGTAAGAGCCTGATTCCTAGATGGCCATTTTGTTGCTGTGTCTTCACAGGGTAGAAAGAGCAAGAGAGTTCTCTGAGGTCTCTTATATAAGGACACCAATCTCATTTGTGAAGGCTCTACACTCATAACCTAATCACCCCCCAAAGACCCCCACCTCCTCATACTGTCACTTTGGGGGTTAAGATTTCAACACATGAGTTTTGGAGGGCCACAAACATTCAGTCCATAATAGCATATAGTATATGGACTTCTAGTGGGTTTTTGGTGGGGCTGAGCCAACATCAATGTGACATCCTTTGTACTCGACGGCTGAGTTGTTTTTTTGTTTTTTGTTTTTTGTTTTTTGTTTTTTTTTTTTTTGAGGGGGGTG